TAAGGAAAGAAGGAGTTATTTGCTCTATTTTCCAATGAAGAAACTGAAATTTGAGGGAGAAATGAATTGAGAACCATCTCTGATCGTTGTGCCCTCATCGTGGCTGGTCTGTGGCAGTGTCTCTGTCCCCCACTCCCCACAAGGCTTGATTAGGAGGTGACCCTTCCGGATGAGGCCTGGGGTGCCCTCCCTGTTTGTGATGTGATCCCACCCTCCCTTCCTACTAGACCTTCTTGACGATGCTTTCAGTCCCTCCAACATCTACCCCTGTGCCCACAGGATGTGCGCCCCTGTGATGGTGGAGCTGGAGGGGGAGACGGACCCTTTGGCCATCGCCATGAAGGAACTCAAGTAAGTCCCCCAGATCATGGGTTCTCTGGAGCCCTAGGCGGCTTTGCTGAGCCTGTTTGCACCTCTCCGTGGCCTGGCTGGGAGGGCGCTTGTTCTCGCGTCCTTAGTGTGTTCCGGGTCAGCCCCCTGGAAGGAGGAGGGGTGGGCAGAGGTGCTGCTTGGACACGGCCCTCGCCTGACGTCCCTCGCTGGGGGCCTTACCGACAGCACCTCTTTCAACCTCTGTATGACACCACACACTGGGCTACAGAGACTTCCTTTTTTATTGTTGTTCCTCTCTCTCAGAGTACACCTGTGTGTACCCCAAGGGTGCTCTTAGACACTTCTTTTTTCTTCCATTCTCCACGTGATTGGTCCTGTCTGCTACAAAGCCGGGCCACAAACCCTCACGGACTATACATTCTCCCCACTGCAGCTGGGCTGCAAACCCTCACGGACTGTACCTTCTCCCCACCGCAGGGCCCGGAAGATCCCCATGATCATTCGCCGCTACCTGCCCGACGGGAGCTACGAAGACTGGGGGGTGGACGAACTCATCATCACAGACTGAGCCACATCCTCTTCCCCCCACTCAGCTTCTACTCTCCGTGCTTCTTTCTGTGCAAATAATAAAGTATTTCTGTATATGGCTTTTGCACCCCAGCTCTCTGTGGCCCTTCTTCTCCCCTAATGCCCAGTCGGCATCCCTCTCCCGGTGCCCCTGGGACTGTCACATCATCCAGAACCACCTGGGACCCTTACCCCCGTGCACCCCATCCCTCGCTCCATCTCCCTGCTTCACCAGAGCAAAAGCTGCTGCAGGGGAGACACCTCAGCTGGCTTCCCAGCAGACAGACGAGCCTTTGTGCCCAGGGAGCTGGTTACCACGGAAACCCCCAATTTCCTTTCCAGTGGGGACTGGCTGCAGGGACTTCTCCCTTCTCAGGAGTATCACAGAGCAGGTCTCATCAAGCCACCCATTGTTTCCTGAGGACCTGCCTCGAGCCTCTTATCATGGGCTCGGATCCCCTTTCAGGAGCAGTGCCCCAGCAGGAAGCTTGGGGACACAGCTATCTCCCGCCTCCCGGCCTGAGCCCTGCTGGGCCAGTCCACGGCTGTAGCTGGGCCCGAGCACCTGCCTGGCCTTGGGCCTTCTGTCCCTGCTCCTGCTTAGTCCGCTGCCCACACCAGCCTCCATCCTTACCTCTGGTTGGCCACACCCACCACCCGTCCCAGCCTTCTCCCTTATCCCCAGGCCCTGACTGGATGGGAGCCAGGATGACCCAGGGCTCCCGGGTCTGGTGTGACATTAGAGCTGGAGGTTCCCTGCCATTTGCTTGGGAGACCAGCATCTGGATCTTTCTGTACTCCGTGGCTCTCCTCCTTTGGAGGGACAAGAAGGATGTAAATCTTGACATCAGCAGAGCTGGTTCAGACTTTTCCAGAGCCCTTTCCCAGCTGGCTCAGCCTGTCTGCGGTGGGACCTGTGATGGTGCACTGTGGACGGGGTGGGTGGTGGGCGAGGAGCACCCAGCGGGATCGGCCTTGGGCCTCACAGTCTGGAGAAGGGTTAATTGAGGGAGCAGTGGACTTCCACCTCTTCCACCCTCCTCCTAGCCTGTGGAATCCTTTAATCAAGTTGGGTGCTGAAATTTCAGCTCTGAAATGCCGCCTTTGTGCTGGCATCCAGGCAGCCGCCCCAGAGTGCGGGGGTCATTTTCTCGGCCCCATTTTTCTAAATGGTCTCTTTGTTTCCTGCTGGGCCGCTCAGTATCAGATGTGATTAAAGGGAGATGGAGTTTGGGCAGGGGAGGAGAGAAGGGACTGGAGAGAGTGGGTTAACCCTTAGGGTTTAGGGTGTAGGAGAGACAAGAGGAAGAGGGCTCTCCTCACCACCCGTTTCCCATTCGGCCGCTCAGCTGGTCAGGCCTGGCTTTGACTTCTCTAAGGAGGGAAGACCCACCTGCCACCACGCCTGGTTCTGTCTTGGGGTGTGGGCAGGCTCTTCAGCTTTCCAGAAACACCTAGCCCCGTCTCTCCTTACAGGAGGCAACACAGTGCTGCTGCAGCCTCAGCACATCCGGAACCTTTGGTCTTGGGGACAAGTGCAGCCCAGGCCTTCTAATAATAACCCTGCGGCTATTGGTCCCTTCCTCCCACCTCCCAGGCTCCTCTGGGTCAGTAGCACATGGGCTGCAGAGTATTGGCAGGTACTGTCCATTCAACTCCTCATCCTACAACACCCAACTCTCTCCTTTCTCTCTCTCTGTGTCTCTGTCTCTCTCTTAGTCTCACGCTCCGTGCCAGCACAGGACCTGTGGCAATAGGAAATGGACAGATGTCCTGCTTTTCTGCAAAGGCTGAACAGGAGGGTTGTAAATATAATGAACATGTCAAGTTAATACTGACTAATGGCTCGCGATTCCAGAAGAGGTTATTACACGTTTGGAAGGACCTAGTGAAGGGGTGACCTCTGGAAGGTGGCAGAGGCTAAGAATCGCTGTTCCCAAATGAGTCCATTTCCTTTTTTTGGATGGTTACTGGTCTTGCAGATCATGGGAATGTCAGATATTAGCCAGACAACCCGTCCTCCCATGTGGCTGTGACGGAGAAATGTGCCCTGTGTGGTGATATAATTAGACAGCTTCGGATCTAATTAGACACTTTCCCCCAAAGCGCAGCGTAGATGGAGCGAGGCCCTGGTACACACAGAGGCTCTTCATTTCCATCTTTATTAGTGGCTTGAATGAGGGCGTTTAAATTGACAGAGAAAGCTAATAAGCTGGTTCTGGAATTCCAAAAGATCTAGGTGGGGAAATGGATCCTATTCAACAAGATGATGTGTGTTAGAGATCAACATAAAATCTTGCATTTTATTACTTAAAAAAAAAGTTAACAGCGTGGTACAGTTTCCGGTATCTGACTTGGCTGCAGTATCTTGTAACGGGGTAGGGGTTTGCAGCTACCACCAAGCTGGACAGAAGCCAGAAGGTTTGGGGAGGTTGCCCAGAGCTCACCTGGTCCAGCTTCCAACTGAAGGGGACTTGGCTCTGCTGGGGACACTGAACTAGCTCTCGATAGCCCCCACGTGCTGACCAGAGACCACGGTGCAAGGAGGATACGCAGGGCCAAGGAAGCATCGGCTGTGACATGATGACGGCAGGCCCGCTCCAGACCAAAAGCAGAAGTAAAATATCACTAGTTCCTCAAGTCCACTCTGGCTCATGTGACTCATGTCACATGACAGTAGAACTGTGCCCCAGAGGGTTTCCAAGGGCTGATGTTTTGGGTGTAGGTCACCAGGCAATTCTGGGGTGCCTCTGGGTGATTTCAAAGAAACCAAAAGTTTATTGTTGTTGGCGTGTGCTGTCAAGTCAGAACCGACTCCTAGCTGACCCTTAGTGGATTTTCAGAGGCAGTTAACTCACATGGGAGGACATTACTCATCCTCCTTCCACAGAGCAGCTGGTGGATTCAAACCATGTGCCTTTGGAAATGCAGCACAGCTTCTTACCACTAGGCCACCAGAGCGCCCCAACCAAAAGTTGAGCAGCTGTTAACAGCATGCCAAAAAAGTGCAGAATCAAACTCGAGGCCATTGCCATGAGGTTGATGCTGGCTCACGGTGTCTGTAGGCTGGAGCAGAATGCCCTTCCGAGGCTGTAAATCTTTACAGAAGGACCTCTGGTGGCACAGACCTTTCCCCTGCTGACCAGAAGGCCACACGTCACTGGCAGTTCCAATCCACCAGCAGTTTCGAGGGAGGGAGGTGGGCCATCTTCTGCTTAGGTTTCTGGCCAGAGGCGCCCACTGGAGGGATGGTGTGAGTCGGAACTGGCTTGATGGCAGTGAGTAAGTGGCTCTTTACAGGAGACTGCATGCCACATCCTTCTCCCATAGAGCAGCTGGTGGGTTCAAACCAGCAGGCTTCGGTTAGCAGTTGGGAACTTAGCGAGTGTACCACCAGTGTGCCTAAAAGGAGAAGGGGGGCCTGCAAAATAATTGTTAGTTTGGGTGTAACACAAACCTGAGCCAGCCAGCTTCAAACTCTTACACCAGCACGACTTAGCACTGAGCTATCAGAGCTCTGGTTTCCCCATCTGAAAAATGGGAATATGGATCGGAGTGACAGAAAGCCCTTGGCAAAGCGCTCACAAATGGTCACCATCCCTGTTATTATGGGCAGGTATACTGCTGGGTATAAGGAGAGACTTCCAGGCACAGATGCTTCTAGACATCAATGGAGCCCCCCGGGCTGGGTGCTGGCAGTGGGGTGGCACCTGACCCTGAGTGTGAATTGAGATTCAGCTCTTGGGGAGTGAGAACTCAGGGACAGATAATGGGTCTGATCCAACAACCTTGGTTTAGACACGGGCAGTGATGTGAGGACTTAGCTAGATCCTGAATGGACCCACACAGGGTGTGTGTCTATGGGGGGAGGTGGTGAGTGAAGGGGTCAAAGAGAAGGACCAGGCCTGCCGACTCCAGACAAGGCATTAAACTTGACCTTACTCCTCTCTTCACATTTCCCGCCCCCTGGTTCCCACGAAGCCAAGCTCAACTCACAGCAACCGCCTAGTGTCAGGTTAGAACTGTGCACCACAGGGCTTTTTCTGGCTGCATTTTCCTAAGGAGGTTGCCAGACCTTTATTCCAAGGCACTTCTGGGTGGTCTCAAACCTCTAGTGTTTCAGTAAGCAGCTCAGCACAGTAACCGTTTGCACCACCCAGGAACTCTTTCTTCCAGCACTCATCCTTTGAATTCGCTTCCAGCTCTTCTCTGATTGGTGGTGCTGTTTCAGGGATGCTCATGCTGAGTTTCAGCTTGAGCCCGTGAAGAGAGGGGTGCCCCATCTGCAGACCTGGCACAGCGGGCAGGGCACCTGAGCCAGAACCCCCCCCACCTGTCCTGACCACTCCACCACCCCACCTTCACTTTGCATGATGTATGCTCCGCCTTCCACCCCCAGCTGCTTCCAGAAAGCATGAAGGAAGCACAGTTACAGGGAGAAGAGACCAGGAGACAAGGCCAGGCCCACCGTGCAGGTAACTGGAACCTTTACTTTTATTATGTGGAATGCTTAATGCAGAGTTAATGAGGGCTGGAGTAGTTGGATGAGGGGTGGGGACTACTGAGATAAATAAAGGGGTACAGTCACGAGTTACATGTGGATTGTGGGGCTGTAGAACAGGAAAGGAGGGGTGGAGAGAGCTACGTATTTTATTCAAATACCACTGGGAGGCAAAGGGCAAGAGGTGAGGGCAGAATGTACATGTCAGGATTTAGTGTCTTCAGCCTGCTGCCAGCCCCCTGGGCGCTCAGGCCTGTGCCTCCTCGGGAGTCCAGGGCGTGGACCTGAGCAGCTAGAACTTTGGGGGAGCACAGGGACTTGGGGCTGACAGAGCAGGGGCCAGAGAGCCTGACACAGGGAAGAAGGGTGGTGGAGAGGAGCCTGGGAGGAAGCTCCGTGAATTGTCTCTGAATGCTTTCCCAGAGCCCCTGCCTCACCTCCTCAGGGGAGCCCCAAGGCCAGGGGGATGGGGAGGGGGCCCTCCTGTTCTCCAGTGGGCAAAGAATGAAGTTGTTGGCACAGAATTGGGTCTGGGGGGTTCTCTGTGCCAACACCCTTCTATGTTAAGGATGGAAGGGAGCAAGAAGGGGTTGTGGAAACCCCACTACCCATTGTGCCCCCAGCCCCCACACCCCACGAGGTGGTTGTGCCATGGACCTGGGTTGGCTTGGCCCTTAGGCACCATGGCACTATGACACAGGGTCAGGTCAGGCCTCAAACCGTGACAGGGGGAGCACAGCCACCCATTCCTGTCAGTCCTCCTCCCCAACAGGGGTGAATGGGCCTCCTCAGGTCCTAGGGTCATTCCTGGGGGAAGGTCCTGCCCCTCACCTTTCAGTCTAGGGGCACCAGTCAACCTTTTCTCCTAGGCCCAGCCCAGCAGCCCAGAGCTCTGCCCTGGCCGGGCCTGGATGGGGTGTGGTGGGGTCATCAAGGGAGGGCCGCCACACAGCCTTCCCTGCAGCCTCTTCGAGGGTCACCACCAGGCCCAGGGCCACCGCCAGGCTCGAGAAGGGCAAGGAGCAGGGAACAAAGGTTGGGGAGGGGTGTGACATCCAGGAGGGGCCTGGCAGGGGTGCTGGTGACAGGGCCCCTTCTAAGGCCGGGACAGCGTTGTATATACTGGCTGTTCCCAGTGTGTGGGGCTATGGGACTGGGGCCCAGAGGGGCTGGGGTCAGAGATGGCCGTGTAGAGGGGCCGCTGGGAGGGCCCCATGTAGGAGAAGGCTGAGTAGAGGCCAGAGGCCTGGCCTGAGTGGCCGTAGTAGGGTCCTGAGGGCTGGTGTTCAGTGTAGTCGAACTGGGGGCGGGAGATGGCCGGGAAGGCGGAGCCGTAGTGGGGCAGGCTGAGCGAGGTGTAGGCGATCTGGGAGGTGGACGGCTGGTCGGTGTAGTGCGGGGGCCCCTGGGGCCCTGAGGTCTCCGTCTTCACCTGTGCTTTGGCATCCACACCAGGTGGTGAGACCGTGGGCAGAGCCACGCCCGGCGGCTTGGAGATCCAGGCAGAGTGTCCACTGGCCACAGCGAGGGCACTGCCCAGCCCGTAGCCAGCTGCCGAGTAGCTGCCCACGTGGCCTGGGTGCCCGTTGGGCGGCAGGTACTGGTCCAACTCAGCCACATCAAAGGTCTCCATGTTGGACATTACCTCGTGGCTGATCTCACCGATGTCCACGTTGCCGAAGTCGATGGGGGGCTTTCCGCCCTCTCCCAGGGAGCGGCCATCTCGCTTGGGGTCAGCCTTGCCCGACTGTAGCTCTGTCTTTGGGGTGGTGGGAGGCGTAGGTGGGCCATGGCTCTGGCCTGGATGGGGGACAGGGAAAGAAGACAGAGAGGGAAGGGGGACCCAGGTCAGCAGGCACATGGGTGGATCTCACCCATTCCCTTCAGGCCTGATTGTGGACGTCTCTACATTTTGACAGCTTGAGTTGGTGTTTGTCTACAGGATTTGGGCGGACCAGTGGGGACAGTTCCTGCCTACCTGCACGGGAATCGGGGGTCTCACCCTTTTATGCCCCGCTGTGTTCTGAACAGCATTTCCTGTTGGGAAGCTCTTTCTCATGTCCCTGCACTTCTTGGAAGCTGGTGCCCAGCCACTCCACCCCTTCGATGGGATAGTTCTGCTGTGGTCTGGCCGACGGGCCCCCTGCTCTGCCCAGCACACACCCTCGGCCTCCGCGGCTGCCCTCACAGAGCTGCCTGGTCCTCGTCACTCCGGCCTCACCGATGCCGCCTTGCTGGGCTTCCTCCCTACCCTGGTCCCCAAAGAGTTCTGGTGTCACCAGGCTCAGCTCCTGCGCCCTTCACCCCAGCCCCACTGGGTAGCTCCCTAACTTCCTAAATGGGTGGCTGCCACAGAAGGGGCTCAGGAGGCCCCCATTTTTGTTCCTTCATTGCACGTGCTCTCACTTATTCATTCTGCAAGCATGCAGAACACTAGGCACTGTGCCCAGTGCTGAGGATAAAAACAAATAAAGTAGGTTCCCTGTCTTCAAAAGCCTGTGGTTTGCGGGGCGATCCAGACACCCACATGACTGATGTGTGGCATCAGATGGGCTGTGGTGACAGATATGTAAGGACTCGGGGACAGAAGAGACAGCACCCTCTCCTCTGCCTTGGGTGGGGAAGGCTTTGTGGATGAGGGGTTTGTGACCTGGGCCTTGAGGGCGAGAAAAAGCCTATCCTTCAGTTTCCTTCTGAGCTGCTGGATCACGTGGCCATGCGCTGTGCGGCCTGAACTTCTGAAGCTGTGGGCAATGTGGGGAGGGCCGGCTGGCCTGGGAGCTGTCACAGGGAACATGCCCATGGTTTTATGAGACCACGTCTGTGCCACTTCCATCAGACCAAAGGTGGTCCGCGACCTGCCTCGGTCAAGGTCCTGGACTTGAGAGCCTGGGTTTGAATCCCGGCTCTGCCACATCTGTGTAATGTTGGACAAATCCCTGTTGTCTCTGAGCCAGTTTCCTTTATTGGTCAAATAGAAAACATAAGCTGGCCGTGGCTGCCTTCTGGTGCCCTCTGACCAGGGTCTGGCGGGCAGCTGGGTATTACTGGGGAGCCTGACTTGATGTATGGACAGAAGGAAGGCTCCCTAGTGGTGAATCTTCCTCAGGATCTTGGCTGAGACCCTGCTTTCATTCCTGCATCTCCCTCTAGACTGGGCCCCCTCAGGGAGGGACTGTTCTGTCCCTGGTTGGTACCTGTGCCTCCTGGGCCAGGCCCAGGCCAGGTGCTCAGAGCGTATCTTCTGAAGGCACGAAGCCCTGCTGGCATGTGCCCAGTGCCCTCTCTGCCCCAAGCAGAGGCCCCACGCCATGGCCCAGGACTTGCCCCTGAGTCTCTTCATTTGTAATGGGGCACCCTCACCCCAACACACTGTCTCTGGGATCCTGTGCTTTCTCTCTCTCTCTCTCTCTCTCACACACACACACACACACACACACACAGTTAGTAACCCAGCACACACACAGCTCCGGGCCCCAGCAGGGCTCAGTCCACAGCAGCTTTCACTGTCATTTGCCAGAGTTGAACAGGATGTCCATCCATCCTGGCACGTGCTAGACCACCACAGGCCATGGTTCCCCACCAGACTGGGAGGCGAACAAAGTCATCCTGTCCCTTCTCTTCTTACTGTGACTGTCCAGTCCATTCTTACCCCACAGCCCCCTCATCGCCCAGCAGCAATGCCCTGGCTGTAACCTTCTTATTCAGCTGTTACCCCCAGTTCCTGAGACCCCCCACTAAGCTGCCAGAGGTCCCCACTGCCTGCTCCCCCTGGCAAGACCTCCCCACGACCCAGAGCATCCATGGAGCACCCAGTACTCCCCTCATAACCCAGGTTCACCCCGAGCCCTGGTCCCAGTCCGAGGCAGCATCCTCGGCGTGTTTACCTGAGGGGTGCTCTGGGTTCCCATCTGACATCGGGGAGCCCTCTCCTGGGTGCCGGTGGTCCAAGTGGGCACTCTTGTAGTGCGCCTGGATGGTGGCCGCCCCGCCTTGCTCCACCTCGCCGCCTGGGCACTCGGCTTCTCCCTGGGCCGCCTTTCCGTTCTTCCGCCTCCGAGGCTGGTACTTGTAATCCGGGTGGTCTTTCTTGTGTTGCATGCGGAGTCGCTCGGCCTCCTCGATGAAGGGGCGCTTGTCACTCTCATTCAGCAGCCTTGAGTGGGCGGAGGAGAAGACAGCGGAGGGATGTGACTGCCTGAGTTCCCAGGCTCCCCGGATTGGAGGGGACAGTCCGGCTCGGGGGCTGCGCCCCCTGGTTTATGGGTCAGCAGCTGGGAGGCTGGGAGGGCTGAGAGCTCTGGCCTCATCCCAGGGCAGCTGGTGTGAGAGAGGGGTTGGCCTGCTGGTCCCGAGTTAGACGTCAGATTGGCAATTACAAGGGGGCAGTTAAACGAGAGAAGTCCTAATCAAGAAAGTCGTCTGAGGGTGGCATGGGCTGCCATGTGAGGGAGTGAGCTCCCCAGGACTGGAGGAGTGCAAATAGAAAGGCATGGTTTCCACCAGGGGGAAGAGCCTGAATTCAGGCCAAGGACTGCGTTTGAACCCAGGCTCTGCCATGTGACCTTGGGCAAGTTACCTCTCTGAGCCTTAGTTCTTCCATCAACAAAATAAGGCTGTAAAGCTCACTATGCACCGGGGTGAGTGAGGGGTGACAGCTGAGTTCGTGGTGTGATTGGCCTTGCAGGGGGCGCAGGGCATGGCTAGCTTCCCACGTAAAACGAGCTAGTTTAATACCTGGGTGGGAGTTGGTCAGCAAGACCTATGAGTGGGGCTGGTCAACTTGGGGGTCAAGGGGAGCAGGGCTAGGTTCCTTTCACTATTAGGGACATCAGAGATCCTTGCTCAGGGGCTGACGAGGGGGACAGGAAGTTAGGACTTTGCCCTCACATCAGGATAGGGGCAGACAGACCCTGACCTCACTCCACCATCAGCCGGAGCCACCAGCCTGAAGCTCGGCCCTGCCTACACCTGTAGCCTGGGAGAGGGGTGTGAGTGAGGGTGTTCTGGGCTCAGCTGTGTCTGGGGAGGAGGTGGTACCTCGTTGAAGGGACTGGAGGAAGTGGGACAGCTCTTTCCCTCTCTGAGACTCACGCAGATGCCAGGGACAGAGGCCCCAGAAATCTGTCTCCTAGAAGCCTCTCCCCAGCTGTACTCCACTCCTCACCCCTACTGGGTGCTGTCTCTCCCCCCCCTGCCCCCAGGCAGCAGAAGGCTGAGCCCTCCCACCCCAGGATGGGAGGGGGTGGTCACACCAGGCACCTCTGAGCGGCAGCGGCATTCCTGGGCAGCTTAGCCTCCCCCGCAGCGCCCTCTGGGCACTGGGGGCTTTCTCCCAGGCCTCCTCTTGCCCAAACCCTCCTGGGGTGAATGTACAGATGAGTACCAGACCAGGTCTCGGGAGTCAGGGTGGGATGCAGGGAGTCCGGGTGGGATGCAAGGAGTCAGGGTGGTTTTCAGGGAGTCAGGGTGGGAGTCAGGGAGTCAGGGAGTCAGGATGGGATGCAGGGAGCCAGGGTGGGAGTCAGGGCGTCAGGGTGGGAGTCAGGGAGTCAGGGTGGTTTTCAGGAGTCAGGCTGGTTTTCAGGGAGTCAGCGTGGTTTTTGGGGAGTCAGGCTGGGATGCAGGCCTCGCTGGCTCAAGCCCAGCCATGCCTCTCTGTCATTGGGCCAGAAGAGCAGGCCCCAAGGTGCCTGGTGGGGAGTACTGCTCAAGATAGGCAGAGGTGCGACAGGAGCAGTGTGGGGGGGGGCGAGGGGGTGGAGCCCTGAGCTTCCTGCCCCACCTGGGGGCTCTTTCACCAGGTACAAATCAGCAGGACAAAGGCCCAAAGAGAGGGAAGGTTTCAGCATGCAGCTGTTACACCGCAAAGGGTCCTAACTGAGGGCTAAGCCTTGCTGTATCAGCACCGACCCATAGCTGACCCTGGAGCCGATTTTCAGAGGCAATTTAATCGCACAGGAGAAGACTGCCCATCTTTCTCCCTAGGAGCAGCTGGTAGATTTGAACTGTGTGCCTTTGGGATGGTAGCACCACTCCTTACCACTAGGCCACCAAAGCTCCTTATAGTTGGGTCTAAGCCTTAGTTAGGACCTTTAGGTTAGTCTCTTGCCAACCTCCAGATCACATCACCCACGATGACAGCCCAGCCCCAGCCCTCCAGCCTCAGCTCTGCTCAGGCTTCTCCTCACCCCAGGCCCACCTACCCCATCACTTCAACCCAATCTCTACAGTGACCTTGACAGCAGCTCCAACCCCTCCCTGAGTGTCACAAGACCCCACTCCACGCCATCCGCTGCTCTAACTCCAGCACTTTTGTTTCCGCTCTCTCTTCCTGGTCTCCAAGGATGGGGGTAAGGCTGGGGACAGGATAGTTTGATCCCCATCCTAAAGTGGAACCCCCAACTGACGTCCCCCGATGGAGCGCTGATGGCTGTGACTGCTCCTCCTCTCAGTGAGTGCACAGGCAACCTTTCCCTGGGCAGAGTGCTGGGGGCCAGGAGAGGCCAAGCTTGAGGCTCCAGGCGCGACACCCTTTCCAGTTTCCTGGCACCACGCCTTCCTCCACCTCAGGCGACAGCACCTCACCGTCCTTTCCCGGATGGGCATCGAAGGTTACCCTGACGGCCTGGCTCAGAGCCACAGAGGAGCTTGTGGTGTGAGAACAGACCACGGCCAACTACAGCACTGTCTGTATGCCCTTCCAGATTTAGGTCCCTGCTCTCCAGTTCTGTCCGCCCAAGCCCCCTTTTGGATATGGTGAGTCTGGGGGTGATTTCAGGGGCAGCCTTTGGGGTACATGGCCCGCCCACCCACATCCAGGCGCCTCTAGGGACCCACCCAGGATCTGAGTGGTCTGCCCTCTGTGGGCACAGCCTTTGTTCCGTTCTGTTGTCCCACCACCCATTGTCTAACCTTCCTGATGCCCTACCCTAGGCTAGCCTGGAGGACCCCCAGGCCCCTGGGCCCACAGTTTGCATGTGGTGACCAGGAACAAGTCTTCATGAGCCCAGGTTGCTGGGCTAGGGGATTTGGGTCAGGGACAGTGAGAAGGCCAATCTCAAACCCTTGACAACGGGAAGTGACAGGAGACGCGGGGTGGACTGCGAGCTCACTCATGCTGCAATCCCCTCCTCCTGTCCCCAGCCTCTTCTGTGTGCCTGTCTTGCCTTTCCTGGCTGTGTCACCAGCTCTCTTCCTTCCCATGGCACCAGAGGTACCTGTCTGGGTAGAGCCCCCTTCCTGGGTCCAGATGGACCCGGAGAAGAGAAGCTGGCTCTGATCTTTGCTGGTGAGCAGCACTGGACCCTGTAGATGATGCAACAGACTGGCCACTGAGCTTAGGGTGGTAGCCTTCCCGGACGGGCAGAGTGACATGGGCTCAAGCGGAAGGGGCAACAGGCCTTCAACAAACTCCACGACATGGAGTAGGCTAGAACAGCCGATGTGAACCCCTCTTAGTCTTTTTGGGGCTCTCCTGTTGTTTGTACCCCTCTAAGCCCTTGGCCCTCTAAAGCTAGTTCTGATTGTATTAAGGGCGGCAGCAGCAGGCGGAGAAAGACCAGCTCCTCTGACAGAGCCCACATTTCCAGAGACCCTGGCGACCTTATCACTCCTCTACAGTGCCTGAACCTCATGTCTTAGGGTGAGGCAGTGACTCACCAGGTCACCCAGGGCGGCGTGGGGGAAGCCCAGGAGGCCAAGGTTCTGCCCCTGGCTCTGCCACCAACTTGCTTATGACCTCTGCAGTTCGCTCCCCTCTCTGGGCCTAACGTGGAAGGTCTAGAGGGCTGGGTCAAGTGACCTCCTGGTGTCCCAGGCCCCCTTGAAGTGAGCGTGTTGTCCTGCTCCACACATCCCCAGGGATGAACCCCACAGCTGAGGGGATGTTTCCCTCAGAGGCTTGGGCTAGTCTTGGGGAGCCTGGGCAGGCAGCGAGTAGCCCACCTTCTCCCCAGCCAGGGTGCTCAGGCCCAGCTCCCAGGCTCTAGGAGGTTACTCAACTCTGGGTGGGGCCCTGGGAGGGAAGATGGCGCCCATCCTGTTGAGGGAGGAAGGGCGAGAGGCCAGGCTGGTGGCAGTGCGACAGGGGCTGGGGGAGGCATCTGCTGTGTGCCCCTTCCCTGGGGGGGGGTGGTGAAGCAGCCTCCAGCCGGGGTGCATGGGGGCAAGGCAGCACAAGGAAGGTAGATGGGACAGATCGGGTCCTACAGCCTCAAACGTTGGCCCCTCAGTACTTCTACATCCTCAACCCCTTCATGAACTCATCTGAATGCATTAGCCTTGAGTACCTCCCCAGTTTTCTCTCTGGCTGCCTCAGTTTCCCTACATATCTAGAAAGGCCAGGCCATCATACTATCTATATCCTCCTGACCCCCCAGTCACTGTACCTGCTGGCAGTGGTGCCCTTTAACACGCATTGGGGGAGTTAATGAGGACCTATGATGTGGTGGACCCTCACCCCGCCCACCCTGCCCTCTGGTCTCAGACCAATCCCAGGCCCTCCGGCCTGCCACCGCTAGAATTCCAACCACAAGGGGGTGCTGCCCAGCCCACTGCCCCAGTGGGGAGACCCCGCCTAGGAGCACAGCCCCAAGGGGATCCTCGGTTCTGATGGGCACAGTCCCCACACCTGGTCATGGGGGTCAGGCCGTGCCCTCTGCGGGGGGGTGTCCCCCCTGGGGAGCACGCTCACCTCCAGAGCTTGCCCAGCGTCTTGCTGAGCTCGGCGTTGTGCAGGTGCGGGTACTGGTCGGCCAGCTTCCTGCGCGCTGCCTGCGCCCATACCATGAAGGCGTTCATGGGCCGCTTGACGTGCGGCTTGCTCTTGCTGGCGCCATTGACGCGCACGGGCATGGGCACCAGCGTCCAGTCGTAGCCGCTGAGCACCTGGCTGACGGCCTCGCGGATGCACACGGGGAACTTGTCGTCGTCCGCCTCGCCGTCCTGCTGCTCCTTCTTGACCTTGCCAAGCTCGCCGGGGCCTGGGCTGGCGCGCAGGCCTGAGCCGCCGCCACCGCCGCCGCCGTCGGGGCCCAGCGAGGGCGCGCTCCCCGGGGACAGGCAGCGCGGCTCCTCGGAGCCCACGGGGCTCAGCTCCACCTCGGACAGGTCCTGCTCCTCCGCCATGTCGCCCCCGGCCACCTCCACCTCGGCCGCCTCCCCGGGGCTCGCCGCCGGGGTCCTCGCGAAGAGTCCAACGCCCACCTGGACGGGAAAGGGCCGGGAGGGGAGGAGAGGGCGCGGTGGGCTGCGGTGCGCGCGGCCCGAGGACAGGGCGGCGAGGCGGGGTGCGGGCTCAGCCCCGAGGAGGCGGCCTGCCGGCGCCCCAGCCGCTCCAGGCCCGGCACATGCCAGCCTCCAGGTCGGCGCGGCCCACCGCCGCCTCGCCCCCCACCTGGTCCCAACCGTCTCTAGGTGTGGGTGGGTTTGGGGTTTTTTTAAACCTCCTCTGGGTGGAGGTTTGTTGATGGAAAGGAAGAAAAACGGACTCTTTATTCTGCCCTAATCCCCGCTCCTGGAATTTCCCACCTTTTCGCTCACCTTCCCTTTCCCCCTCCACCAGCCCTAGCCTGGGCGCAGGGGCCTAGAGATGGATGGGTGAGGGACCTGGGGTGTCAGCGCCTTTCCACCACCCCAAGGGCTTCCAGGCGCGGCTCGGGGTGGGGTCGGAGAGCGGGGCCCACACTCACCTCCTCGGACCTCTCCTCCAGCCGGGGGCTCGACCTTAGGAAGTGGAAAACCGTGTCCCAAGGTGTGCGGTCCAGCTCGGGGCTGGGGGGTGACGCTGGCTACGCTGGGAGGGAGGGGCTGGGGGCCCGGAGCCTCAGGCCAAGGCCTCGCTTGGACTGGACGGAGCCTGAATCCTCACCACCAACCACCCTGGCCGGACTACCCAAGACTGAGCACTGAGCCCTCGGAGGGCTGGGGAAGGAAGGAGGGGGGAGCGGGGAGGGGGAGCGGGGAGGGAAGGGCAGAAGGTGGAGCCTCCAGTGCTCGCCTTCATCCCCAACACTGAGGGCTCCTCCGCCAGCGCCCCAGCCTCCTCCCACCCCCAGCTCCCAGAGCTGGCCGCCCCAGGCCCACCTCACTGGGGCTTAGTTTGGGATTAGGTAGGGAGGGCCAGGAGAGCCGAGCCATGAAGGTGAGGGTCAGAACCTGGAGTTTGGAGGAAAATGGGGCCCAGCTGGACCTAACCTCTGCCTCAGGTGGAGGGATGGACAGTCTGCAAAGAGAAGAGAAAGGTGGGGAGAAGGCAGGGGCAGGTTCTATGGCCATGGGCCCAGGGTGGCTGGCCTGTCTGCTTCATTTAGCAAATCGGGTTGAATGCCTTCTTGGTACCAGGTGGGTTCCCAGCCGGGCTTCCTCCCTGCCAGCCCGGCCCTGACTCACAGGGCGAGAGGGAGAGCTGAGGGCTCCGTGATTTAGGGGCAGCTGTACACCTTTTCCCAGTGCACCTGGACAGCAGTTTCCTGATCCCTTGCAATCAGCCAGTCTCCAGAGAGGCTGGGCCTGACCCCAGGTAGACAAAACTGAAGGGGTTTAGCCTGGGGCTGTGGCTGGTCCTCTCTGTGGTCTGAGAGGCACTGGGGATCCCACTCCCTCCATGTTGAACACACCCTCTTGAGCAAAGGTGGGCACAAGAATCCCTTGCTGTGTCGTGAAGTGCCCACTACCCTATCCCAAGCAAGGGTCAGGAGGTGCCCAGCCACCCTTTTCCCTTTTTGTCCATCTCTCCCCTCAGCACCTCCAGTTGGGTGACCCACCCGCTGTGCCTTCTGATGGCCTCTTATGCCCTCTTCCTAGATATCTCTTCCAAAAGTCATGGCCCTTTCTCCTCCCCATCTAAGGCAGCCCCTCAGAGTGAAGACATAGGTAGGGGTGGGCTGCCTTGGAGGCCTGGTTCAGAGCATCTCAGTAGCAGGCCCAGGCCCCAGACTCACCCCAAGGGGATTCTGTTTGGAGCACAGCTGGAGAGAGGGGTCTGGGGAGACCAGGCCTCAAGCTTGGGAAAGACCTGGGGGCAGGAATGGGGGTGGGTAACAGGACACAATGAGGTAGTCACACGAGGCAGAGGCATGTTGGGGGTGGGGGGAGTGGACACTGAAACACACACACACACACACATGCTCGCACACACAACCCGCCAGACAATCGGGCCAGTGTGTCTGCGGCCCCGGAGCCCAGTGAATTAGGAGTTTGATAAGGGTTCTCTCTTTCTCTGCTTGCCGGCCTTGGACAATCTCCCCCCAGTTTTCCTCGATGCCACCCCCAGCGCTGCCAACCCTCCTCCCCCGCCTCCCTTCTCTTCCCTGTGCCCAGACTCTTGTTCGGGGCCTTGAAACAGTGAGCTGTCTTTGTTCGAAATACAGGTGAACGGCAATCATGTGATTAACACACACACACATAAAAAGCTTTTTAACAGCGCCCGCCCGGCCTCAGAACCGCCCGGAGAGGAGCCGCCCTGGATGGACAGAGGGACGAGGGACTGAGGGACGCGCATCCAGCCGGTCCCGTCCTCCAAGCAGCCTCCGACACTCCACTCGCTGCTGCCTGCCCGCGGCCGGCCGTCAGCATCTCGCGGTGGGTCCCCATTCATCCTTCCACCCCATTCCTCCTCTCAGAGGGAAGGACCTTCCTTCTCCTCACCCCTGAGACTCAGGCCTGAGCCCCTTGGGTAAGGAAGGGCCCACGGCAAGGAAGCTGCCCCTTCCAGCTCCTTGCCTTCTCCTGCCCCCTGTGGCCCAGCTGTGGCAGGGGGGGCTCGTGGTCTGTGGAGTGGCCACACTAGCTGGAGTGGGGGTGGGGGCCTCCTGTCTCCTCCCCTCCCTCCCTCCCGCTTTCTTGCCTTGCCGGGAGGTGTGGGATGAGGCAGGTGGGCCTGAGTGGGTGGGTGGGGGCTGAGCTGTCAGATGACCAGGGCTCTGTGTGAAGAGGACCCCTGGCTGTGAACACAGCCCTGCCCACCACTCTGGCAAAAGTGATCTCCTGTGAAGGCCACTATTCATCCCTGCAGATAGGGACCCAGGGGAGGTGAAGAGTGCCCGGTGAGGACCCCAGGCTGGGCAGTGCCAGTGTCTACTCCATTCTCTGCCCAGGGGTGCCTTTACGCCTCACTCCTGACCCTTCCTCAAAGATGCTTATGATGGACTTACCCTGCCCCCCCCCCAGTCAGATCTGTGCCAAGAAGGGAGGATTTGTTCCTCCACGGTGAAAAAGAGGGGGCCCAGGCCTCCTTCCCTAAGCTTATCCCCTGTCGGGTGAGGACCCAGGTAGGGTCCTGGGGCAGCCTGGCTCCATTCATCACCATGAGGGGAGCCTGTCAGGCAGGGGCAGTGGGGCCTGGGCCTCAGCTCCTGCAGAGCCTGTTCTCAGACTAACACTGAGATGAGAGCAGGGACTGTAGCCCACTGAGCACACTACCCCCCCCCCCAAGTGGCTATAGGGCAGCAGGGACTCTTAACCCCTTAGCTCCCAGAGTCTTCTTCCTCAGGGCTGAGGGCCCCAGGTTCCTCACCCAGTGGGCGATAACCCCCACCCCCACCCTGCCTCCAGGGATGCACTGGACTGAGGGTTAGCAACCAGCAAGTCAGGTGTCAACCCAGGAGGGGGAAGTTCTGGTCATGGGGAGCCTCTGACCCACACTCAGTTTCCCCAGGTGTGAAGTAGGTGTGAGACTCACCTGGTCTCCCTCAGTGAAAGCTCTGGCCTGCCTCTGAGCACTGCGTGGTGGTGCCCCCTCAGGCTGGCTGCCTGGCTCTTCCCCCAGTGTGCTGTCTGGCCTGCACCCCTTTCCTAGCATCTCAAACCCACACACAGCTCCCCTGTCAGAGGGCCCTGTCCCCACTTCCCAAGCTGGGGAGCAGGTTTGGCCTAGAACAGTTCTCAAACAGAAAGCTATACACACCTGAAGGTCTGCATTTCTTGCAAACTCCAGGCCGGGGCTTGAGTTCTAATCTGCGCTTGTAAGCAGATGCTGAGATCTAGTGCCAGCTCTCCTCTGTCCATTAGATCTGGTTTTCTGAGGATGAGGCGCTCCCTAGAAGCTACAGTGTCCCCCACCAGGTCCCTGGAGCTTGAAGATACAACAGCCTCCTATGGAGGCCCATTCCAAGGGCGAAGGGCTGAAGTGTCACGGGGAGGGGCTGTGTTACTGGGGCCAAGGGTCAGAGACACAGGGTTGAACTAGTTCACGGTCAGGCTTCACGGAAGCTTCTAGTTAGTAGAAGGGGCAGTGTGAGTGTGAGCGAGGGTCCTCGAGCATTTCCTAGACCGTCCTCACCTCTGGACAAGGCTGTGTGTCGTCAGTGTGAGGTGTATTTACGGGGAGCACGGGACTGTGTCAGGAGCCCTGTCACCTAGCAGCTGAGAGGCCTTGGACAAGTTCCTCTGCCTTTCTGCACTTGGTAGTCTTGGTGTTCCTGGTGGTCACTGAATTCTCCAGTTGTCAACCTTCGGAGCAACGCACACACACATACCCACAGTCTAGCTCAGTATCTGGGACATAGTAAGTGCTCTCTAACGTGATGGTGGTGGTGTTGTGTACTGCCGAGTTGGAACCAACCTGTAGCTGACCCTCCAGCAGGCTTTCAGAGGCAGTTAATCGCAAGGGAAGAGACTGCACGTCCTTCTCCCACGGAGCAGCTGGTGGAGTCAAACCGTGAGCCTTCAGGTTTGCAGCTCAGCTTCTTGCCACTAGGCCACCAGAGTTCCCTAAAGGAGTATTAGAAACACCAAATGTATTTGGTAGACCAGTCCCGAAGGTGTAAGGGAACTCAGCAGCGATGCACAGATATTTACTGAGCAGTCACTCCGGACTCCTTCTAGTAGTTTCTGACCTGCTCTTGGAAGCCTGCCCTTCCCCCCACTGCCCTGCTCCTCCTCACCATGGGGCAACTCTGAGGCTCCTAAAAATGTCTCTCCACATCCCACAGCTGTGGTTATTCTCAGTCTAGCAAGGACACTAACTGAAGCACAGAGAGGTTTGGTTCCTGCCTAGACTCGCTGCTGGTGGCAGTGTGTGGACTGTGGTCTGAGCCCTGTCTCTAACCACTTGGTGTCCCTGCCACTAGGCCCCAGCCCAGCGTGGGGTGAGGTTCTTCACTGGGCCCACGTCCTCTTTCCTCAGGAGGGCTGCGCCTCTGCCTTCATGGCCTCACCAGCTTACAGGCCCTTTCCTGAGAGACACACTTGGTGTTGACTGGGATTCTCTTTACTTCTCCACGGAGGAAACTTCTTGTACCTGCTAGGCTCCTAACTGTGCCCTTACTGGGCCCGAAGGTCAGGCCCTTGTCTGCCTCCTCAGCCTTGACCTCTGCAGAGCGCAGCATGACCTCAGGGAGCTTCTGTCCAAGTTCCAAGTTCCCAGTAGGAAAAGATGGGGGAGGCTGGACAGGCAGGAGCGGCTTCCTGGAGGCGGTGGGCCCGAGTTCTCAGGAGGAAGACCGCATTCCAGGGCCTGTTCCAACAGGTGCTATTACTCTCCCCATTTCTAGTCCCAGCTGAGGGTCCCGGAGGCAGGCCAATTAGGCAGTTTCTAGGGCCTGCGTGTTCCTTCCCCTCTCGAACCCACCCTCTCAGGGAACAAGGAAGCTGGGGCCAGTGCCCAGTGCTGCCTCGGGGCAGCCTGGCCTCTGCCCTCTTCTCAGAAGCCTTGAGAAGGAGACTGCTTGTTCTTTTTGTCTAAACTCTCACTGCCAGAAAGCCCTTCCTGGTGTCTGCTCTGAGTTCCTCCTGCTGCTGTGAGCGCATGTGGGAGAATGTCCGCTCTGTGAGGCCACTGGGCCAGGACAGGGAAGGAGACCAGGCCTGGTCCTGAGGAACTCGGAGTTTGGTGAGAGATGTCAGAGGGAACCGGAGAACTTGGCACGGCTGAGGTGTGGCACA